GATCAGAATCAATCAGTGAGATGATTAAATGCTGGTAAAATGTGAAAAGCATTCTCTGCTCCATGTCCATCACTACCATAATCTTTAGTGCATTTAGACCTTTTTGAGCCCTTGTTACAACTCCCTCTATGTGATCCCTGAAAGACAAACTTCTGTCAAATGTGATTCCCAGGTATAGCAGTCTGCTGTCTCTTTTGATGTCCTTTTCATTTATTTTGAGTCTAGGAACATCATCTCTAACAACCCTGTTGTCAAAAGAACACCACAGGACGGTTGCATTTTCTGGGTTGATGACAGCCCTCATCTCTGTACACCAGTCAATTACCTTATTAACTGTTGTCCGTAACTCTTCAGCTATTTGATTCCGATCTCTTCCCTTCCTATATACAAGAACATCTACTGCAAATGTCAATATTCTACCAACTCTAGGTGTTTTCAGGCAGGCAATCTTGATCGTAAAAACATTGAATAGTTCAGGTGAAATTGCAGATCCCTGTGGCAGTCCTGGAGCTATAATACATGGTTCAGAGGTCCATGAAAACAGACGGAGAGCTACCCGGTGAGTATACAAAACGGCTGCTATCCAATTCACTAACCAAGGACAGACTCCCTTTCTCCATAAGCGCTTTCATCAAGATACTGTATCTGACTCTGTTGTAGGCATCTTCTAAATCGAGTGCCGCTGCCACTGTTTCCTGTCTGTTCTGGAAACCTTCGATGGTAACAAAGGCAAAAGTGGCTGCATTTGACCATGTGTCCATGCGAAGTACACAAATAACGCCATCAAATACGGAATTGTGCAATATATATATATATATATTATATATATATATATATGGCGACCTTATATATATCACAATCCTATTGTGACCTTAGACGGGACTCAATGTTAGCATGACTTGTCGAACGCAGAAGAAGAATATAATATATTATATATATTGAAAAAACTATATATAGATATATATAGATATATATATATATGTATAGTATATAGTAATGGCATCCGTCAGTCCCGGGGGACTATGGAGATGTGCCGCTGGCTTGGGGAACAGCATCTGCTGTCCACTGTAAAGTCCGATGCGGGAATGGCAGCCTTTTTGCCACACAGGATAGACACAAAAGCAGATACTCCCTCGTTGTGAGGCAGTTTTACTCTCCGGTCTCCTCTCCACAGCTCGTTGTGTTCGTTTTCTTTCAAAAATAGGTATATATGTATACCTGTATATATATATATATATATATATATATATATATATATATATATATATATATATATATATATATATATATATATATATACACACTGTCAAATCGCAAGTACGTGCATAACGGAACACCTACTTTTAAGCTAGATTAGCTGTCATGGCATCATCGAATATGGTCACCACATGTGGGTATCAGGACTCACCCCCCCCCCTCCTCTTTTTTACAGGTGTGGTGTGTGTGTGTGGGGGGTGTGTGTGTGGGGGGGGGGGCGGCTAGGAGAATAAGTCCAATGCTCTCCGAAGAATGTCGTAAAACGTGACTGATTTAAGGCGCACATATCACAGGCTGGCTGTAAACTACAACACAGTGTGCGAATCGCCTCTTTTACGGGGTGAATACCTAAGAAAATATTATGGTAGTACAGCGATGTGTAGGCTATGCTTAAGGGCACGGAATAAAAAAAGGAGACAACATCAATCTGGGATTAGACAACAGACAATTAACTATAACTGAAAAACGACAATTATAGAGCAATTACTGTATTTAAACGTTGTCTGACAGTTCAAGTGATCTGGTATGCACTAAGTTTGAATATGCACGTAAGCTTTTCAATTTTACAGCAGCAGAACGTGTAGGTCAGAATATATAGGAGGCGGCGTGGTTACAGGCGTGCAAACACTGGTCCTGGTTCGATTCCTAGAAGTTACAGTATTTATTCATGCCAGTGTGTCCAAAAACGGTTACCAAATAAATTTCAGGTATTAACGATGTCCTAACTAGTCAAGATTGATGGACTCACCTAGGCCACCCCCCCCCCCCTCACCCGGCCCAATCTTAATTTTTTTTTTAAATCTGCGACTGAGCAAGCCGGCGAGGGATGTTTAAATTTTTTTTTATTATTTGATTTATTTACTGCTCAGAGAAATGAAACGAAATCTAAACGACCTACAAGCAAATAAAACAAGGACTGCAATACCGACAGAACATAATCACACAGAGGAATCAATTGTAAACAGCAAATAGCTATTTTACGGGGATCATTAAAATATAATTGCTACTTTAGAAACAGAATTGCAAGACCACATAAAAATGAACTGTACTAAGTGTGCAAGAAACAACAGGAAAATTAAATCATAAAGTACCATTCAACTCAATATGCATTTTAAATTTGTCTGGACTCTCCATACTCCAGTTTTTTCTACACGGCTCTAGTTATTATTTTAACTTCTTTCTCAAAGAACTATTAGTTCAAGTCACCCAGACACAAACATTGGTTCTTATCACAATTTCGGACCCTGCCCCGCCCATTTACTCACTATGCAACATTTTATTCATACTTGATCAGCCAAGTCGACTTCTGAAAAGCTTAAAGGGATGTCGTCGTGGCTTTGTCAGACCAGTGTCATTTGATACATATTTACGACCTCAGGACATCGACAACTCACTCTTCCGTGACGAGACCTCTATACTACAGCAAGTTAGCGATTTTAGCGACCCCATAAAATCTGATACTAAGTTAAGCCAAACCCCATTCGCGACAAACTAAACCTAGGTCCCAAGAGACAGTGCATTCTACATGTCGCTGCAGACAGGAAACTATACCCTGTGCAAAAAACTCATTTGCTAAGCAAAATTCTAGACGGCTGTGATGTACCCACCAACACACTAATACTATATACTAAGTCGATCAGAAAAGCCACTGTGTACCTGTCCACACTCCAAAATATACACAAGAGAGAAAACTGACACCTCTGCCACTTACACAAAACCATGTGACAGCTGGAGGCAGAATCTGACCCTGCAATCACAGTGTCCTGTCCTGCCTCTAACATTTATAAGTATGCATGTGGGCGGAACCGGGGCCCGAAATTGTGATAAGAACCCAAAAATTAATTACTTCAAGTAACAACTTTCTAGGAGAGAGTGGGCTAAATGATTTCTGACTGGTTTGAAAGATTTTACATCAACAAAACAAAGTCATGAACATAGCAACAACAACTAAATTCCCCCCCCCCCCCCCCCCCCAACATTATTAGAACCTGATCTCTGAACAGTCGCAAAAACGAGTTTTTGGGAAGCATAATATCATCTCATCAGTGTTGTCACCCCCAGCATCCTTGTCCGCGTGGCCGTTATCATTTCTGTAATCATCCTGCTTTGGTTTTTACAATGTTTGCACCATTTTTATAAATTTTTTTTTTTTTTTCATTGTTTAATGCCTACATCGTTTGAATTCCTAGTTCTCTACACCATAGGGTTGAATTGCACTTGTCTGATGCAGGGCAAAGAATTTAAATATCCAGGTCAGCGGGTCTCAACCTGTGGGTCGCGACCCTTCTGAGGGTCGAACGACCATTTCACAGGGTTTGCCAAAGACCATGGAAAAACAAATATTCACTAAAGTTATGAAGTAGCAACGAAAATAATTTAATGGTTCGGGGTCACCAGGTCATGAGGAACTGTATTAAAGTTTTGCAGCATTAGGAAGGTTGAGAACCATTGATCTTTGTGGATAATCTGGGAAGTTGGAAGAATAGGTCAAGACAGAAAATGATGTCAAAAAGAGCCAGTGCATTTATATGCCAACTGACACTTTTTTTAAGAGATACAAACGTAAGTATGACTGCCAAGAAACAGGTTATAAACAGCACAGTCATAAAAACACTCTGCTACCAGTGTAAAATTTGGAAAATATCAAAGGCTTCCCTGCATAAAATTAAGATAGGAAATGGCAAAGGAAAGCTGCCAACTCAACCATCCGAGAAAAAAATCAGAAATGATACAATCAGACAGAGTATGGGAAATACACCTTGCAACAAATTCTCTGAGAAGCAGAAGATTAAATAGTTGGGTCATTTCATTAGAATGCAACCACAGCAAATACCAACACAGGCACTACATGTACAAATATATGACATCATGAGGGTACCAAAGGAGAAGATGGACTGGTGACATTAAAGACATTCTACATTGACACGGGTTAGCAATTTTCAGTGCTTTCCATGAAGCAATAGATGGCAAACTCCTCTTCCCCTGCGATGTTCAAAGGCAAAAGTGGAAAATGACACTGATGATGATGATCCCAGTTTAGTTTATGTGCAGTAACAACATTGAAGATTAAATCATATGTGGATACCATATCAAGACATCAATGAATCACACTAACATCATTTAGTCACTATCACCACTTTTTCTTCATGCGTGTTTATCCTAAAGTGGTAAATGCGTTGTGCCCATCTACAACATGACTTCGATTTGTGTACTTTTTTGTCCAGCACATCCAACTTCTGCTGGCATTTGTTGTTTGGGTTAGCCTTCCCGTCAATAGAAACACAAAATATCAACAATTAATATAAACTTACCTCTACCGGTTTCTGGTTAAGAAGCCATTTCACATCTGGTCTAGGGTTTCCAATAACTTGACAATGAAGTATAGCTGGTGAACCACACATGACAGTTACATCTTGCAAGGGTGTAGGAAAGCTAGGAGGGCAGTGTGCTCCCAAAAGGGATGCTCCTGTGTATGATGTTCTTGTTGTGGCAAGTGGTGCTGACGTTGAAATTGAAATGGCACCAGTAGTTGACTGGGGCAGTGTTTGGGCCACATGATCATTAACAGCAGAAGATGCAATTCCTTTGTCCAAACTGGTATTAGTTTTCTGTTGTCTAGAATTTCTCCACCGCTGACGTAGCTCCGAGGTGGAAATTTGATCAGAAATACTCAGATGAGAGTTGCTTGTTTGACCATGCTCATTCAAATCAGTTGATCTAGCACGGGCAGACACATGTTCTCCTTGCCCTGCATTGAGATCGTGTTGCACTATATCTACAGACTTTGATGCATTTAAAATTTGTCTATCAGAATGCACATCTTCTAAGATGTTGCCACTGTCTGTATCCATTTGTGGTTTTCTGACTCCACCAGAACTACAGACATTTTGTTCATCTATTGGTTCTGTTCTGTTGCTGTGTGATGTAGAGAAGGTGTTTCCAGGTTTCGACTGAGACTTTTCTTTTGGTGACTTTTCATTAGAGACTGGTATTTGTTTGTCTGAAGAAGATTCTTTAGACGTAACAATGTCTGATGAACTTGAGTCTGAAAATCTGCCTTGCCTTACTTCAGTTATTTCCACCTTTGAAGGAATATGACTAGTAGTAACAACATGGTTTTCAAGTTGTCTCCGCAGTCTTCTTGAAATATACTCACTCCTAGGAATGGAGTCACCCACAAAGTCTTCCTTTAAACCAGCTGAATGTGTTGACTCTGTGGACACACTTGAATATTTCGGTGCATTCTCTTCACAAATACTACTAGATGTATGACCAGCTTCTTTGACATCCCTTCTAAATGCCTTATAACCATACACTTCTATTTGTTCGTTTTCTAATTCTGCTTCCTTTAATGGATTAGATACTGCAGTCAGATTAACTGTTTCATTTAAAACTCCCTGCTTATTTTTTTGACTTTGATCATGTTTTTGTTCAGTAAGTAAATCCTCATTATTCAAGTTTCTTTTATAGATGTTTGGTTTTTGTACATAATCCCTATCCTCTGCAGTCTCAAAGAAATTGTTCTTGATCTCCTGATTCTTGTCTACTGGATACTTCAGTGCTTGATTGTGTTTGTCTGGACCAGCTTGTCTGTTCCAGCTGTCACGATGTAAGTTTTCATTAACTGCCTGTATCCTGTCATTGCCTGTAGGCCTTCTAATGATTCCTGAATCAGCTGTGACATTTGAAGCATCAGAAGATGATGATGATGATATTGATGTTGTGGATATAATTGAATCAAAATCTGTTGTGGATGATATGTCCATCTCAGTTTGATGAAACAGTTCATTATCATTGAGTGGATACACTGGAATGGGCCTCCTGCTCCTCTGTTTTTTCCATGATAATTCACTGTTCTCCAAGGAGGACTCTTTGCAACCTTCTCCCAAGGGAGATTGCTTTACACTAAATCCTTCAACTGATGTCATTTCACTGCTCCCCTTAAAATTACTTGCATAAGATGTACCAAAGGAAGACCTTTCTGTTTGTAATGTTTGCATTTTATTGTCTGCAGGCTGAAATGTTTTTTCCGGAAATAAAGATGATTTCATCTCCATAGTGGTTGATATTGAAGTGAATGAAACCTGTGGGATGACAGTATTTGAAACTGATTCCCCAGTTATGGTGAGATTTGTTGATGTTGTTGATGTTACTACTGCAGATTCAGTTGGCTGTGATACCAAGGCAGCGATTTCCCCTGCTGACTTTGTTCTAGGTAATGTTAATATTGTGGAAGATGGTTTTGTACTTACAACAGATTTAGGTATCATTACAATTTGTGATTTATATGTCTCTGTGGTTCTGTCACCACTAGATTTAGAATTAAGAGTCACGGGCATATCCAGCTTGGTTATAGGTAACTGGTAACTAGGTAAGGGTGACTGATTACAAAGTGGCTGCGGAGAAGGTTTCAACACATTAACTTCAACAGGTTTTGTAGTGTAATCTACAGCTGTAGCTGATGTCACCTGTGTTGCATCGTTGAATCTGCTTGTGACTTGGTGGTTGCTGTGTGAAATTCTATGCTCAGCATTAAAACGTGAGATCCCTGCATGATCCTGTTGGTGTTGTCGGGTATTCATGTTGTCTTGCGAACCTTGTAGACCCACCCACCTAGCACCTGAGTTGTCCTGCAGGTTTCTTGATTCTGAACTGTTTCTGATTCTTACCTCAGATTGTTTGTTTGAAAAAACTGTTTGTGTACTGTAGATATCTTGCTTATCATTAGGAATAGCAGTGTTCATTCTGTGTAGTTCATTTGCTTCTTGATTCTTCCTGTTACATTGTGACTTTTCCAAGGCCTTTGTAGACTGGATTTTACTTTCTGTTTGTGCTTTTCCATCCAAGAATAATGTACTGGGAACTTCAACATGAAGTGACTGTCTCTTTTTCGCCCACTCTGAAACTTTGTCACCATAACTGTCACCATTACTGTCCTTTACAGCATTAGCAGGGTTATATTTGCTTCTTGACTGTATCCAACCCCTCTCATCTGATGCATCTTCTGCAGGTTTCCATGTCATGTTGGTTTGAATCTCTTTTAGAAATATATTCTGGGGAGTTTGTCTGCACTGGTGGTTTTACATCAGTTCTGTTTTTAGTAAACTGTAATGATGCATAAGGAACTTGTTGTGTGCTTCTTATATCTTTAATAGCTGCTTCAAACTTCGCACCAATTCCTTTAGACTTCCTGTGAGAATTACTTCTAGTTACTCCCCCTGATGACACCTTGTCATGTTTTCCAGAACTTGCTCTGAGCTTGTTAGTCTGTGCAGATTTAGAATACCTGGCACTCTGGTTCAAGATTTTAGATTTGTCATCACCAGCAAAAACTTTGAGAGAATCTGTAAACTTTGATATTGTAGAGGTGGTACTGACTGCTGTCCTTGGTGTTGTAGCTGTAGTTCTGACTGCGCTTCTTGGTGTTGTAGCTGTAGCAGTAAATGTTGTCTTTGCTGCAGGTTTATTGTTAATAGAGCTCAGGTAGGACGATGATGGTAGTAATTTTGAGAAATCACTGCTTTTTGAATTGGCTCTTATTCTGTCTGCATTTGTTGCAAGTTCAGATCGCTTCCAGCTGTTTTCAGTGTTTAACACCGGCTTCAGTCTGACATCTGTAAAAATACTCTCAGTTGATTTAGACATGAACTTACTTTTTGAAAGATCAGAACTGTCTTTACCTTTGAAAGCTGTGGGTTTGAGTTTGATGCTTCTAAAATCATCAACTTCATTGCTTTGAGCTGATGGTGCACCCGACCCAAGAAATGCTGCATTTGAACCCGAGCCTACTTCATGCCTAGAGACTGTTGACAGTCTGTAAGCTGATCTACTCTCTTGATGATTGTTATTTCTGGAACTATTCAATTTTTCTGAAAATCTTGTTCTACTGTGTGTAGTTGGTTTTTCCTTTTCATTTGTAGGCTTAATTTTATCATAGGTGTAATTATCTAACTGAATATTGTTCTCATCATCTTTATTCTCCAATGGTGATGAGTTTCCTTTATGAATTGTTTGTAAATTATTCTTGGGTTCATTTCCCTTGAAAATCTGTTCAAATTCTTGTTCTGTACACTTTCCTTCCTTAGCAACCATTGTAAACACACTGTCATCTTTCTGCTTGATGTGTGCATCATGTTGAGTGGATGTTCTGAAAGAATTTGACTCTGAGTTTGAGCGTGGTGAAGATAATGACTGTCTCTGTGGCACTGATGCAGTAATAGAAGTTACTTCAAGCTTCGAGGCATCTGATTGTGGTTCAGAAGGGTTAAACTCACTAATGCTGACTTTACAGGCTGATAACTGTTGCAAGTTAACTTTCTGAGATTCATGTTTTGATGCTGCAGATTTCACTGCAAGACTGCTTCTCTGACTCACATGATAGTTCTCTGACCTGGGGTCTCTATGGCTAGTTGTAGAAGGTGTGTTTGAAGATATTTTACAGTCTTCTGTAGATGAACTACTACTTGTCTGGCTTCTCCTTTCATGTGTTCTTGTGTCAACAACCTGGACTTCACTGTGAAATAAGGAACTGCCTGTTTTCATGCTTGTAGACTTTAATCCCTCTTGCACCTTGTTAAAATCAATTGTCCTATCATCAGGTGAAGAATGCTGGTAAGTTGAAGATGAGGAAGAAATACCTTTGCTTTGCCTCCTCCAACTTTGTGCTGCTGTTTGTGTTGGTGGAATCACTGGAGATGAAGCAATGTGTGCACCTGTTGAAGTGCCACCATTCTGCTGGAGAGCTGGTTCCGTGTCATTAGTAGTATCATTTAATTTGTAATCTAAGTCTTTAGCCAGACCATGACCTTTCTTCTCGTGTGATAGAGAAGATAGTCTGGATGTTAATACAGATGAAGGGTGAACATCTGAAGTGAAAGCTCTACTGGGTGCAGTGTCTGATGTCGGCTCAGAAGTGAGCACTTGGGCTTTAACATTCTCAACTTCTGAATCAATTTTGATCGTCTCATTTGTGCTATTTTTTAATGTCATTCTTTTGAAATCGGTCTCATCTGGCAAAAGAGTAAGCTCCCCTGGCTGCACAACTGTTGACTTGTGTTGGTGCAAAGACCCTCTAGAGTCCATGAACTCACTGTTTGAAAACTGTCTGGTCTTCTCCATCTCCTGGTAAACCTTATGTGGTGGGGGTTGGACATTAGTTACAGATTCAGCAAATGTATGTGAGAGTTCTGCATTTTCAGTCATGTTTCTGACGTGATATGGTCTTGAACTGGAGTTGCTGTCTCTATTAGAAGACTGATAAAGATGGTGTAAGTGGTTTTTATCAATGCTTGTTTCAAATGATGTTGGCTTGGCTGTTCTTGTAGCTGGGGCTTGACTATTTTCAGTCTCATCCTGTCTGTGTAATACTGTTTGTGCTTTGTGGCTATTTGTGGTTTCTGATGAGGTCATTGGATATTTCTCATGTGGTGTGGTCTGAGGGCTAAACTGAGACATTTCCTCCATGTTTGAGTTAGTAGGAGGTCTATTTGAAAAAAATGAAATATATGGACAGATTTTATTATCATATATTTGCTAAGTAAGTCTTTTATATGCATATTAATGAGGCAATCGAGAAGAAAAACAATTAGGTAAAAGTGTAATCTGAATCAAAAGCAAACAAAACAACAGACAGAGAGAAGAATATAAGGCGGATATTTAAGAAGAAGATTAAAACAACAATTGATTTGAGGAAAAAAAAAACATGTTATCAATTAAAATCTTTTGAGTATATTAGGAGGAGAAAACTTGTAAAATTAAAGACAATGGGCAAACTAATGGAAAAGAAAGAAAAAAAAGAAAAAAAAGATTTAAAGTGAATTCGCCAGTATTAATCATGAGAACAAAAAACAAAGATTTGGTATACAACACCCGGATAAATGTGTAGGTTTATTAGCTATCAAAACTTGTCAATTAAAACAAACAAAAAAAATGTATGAGGCTGGCAGTCTTACCTGATATTTGGCTGAATGTTTTGGCTCAGCTACATTTAACCAGCAGACATGAGATGTCTCACCCTCAGTGTTGCGCAAGCAGCAACTGTACTCTCCTGCATCAGCTTGATCCAGACTGTAAATTTTCAGGGTATGTCTGTCACCAATTCTAGTGATCTGTCAGGAAAATGTGCATGTTAACATTTTCATTCTGGGTGTGTCATTCATATGTCAGATATGACTGAGCTACCGTATAAAAATAGCAGGTACCACCTGTCTTCTGTTAATGCTGAATGCTGGGCGGCATACACCAAACCTAACAATTCCTATGGTGCCACTGAGCAGAGGAGCGCATTGAGAAGGATTCTAGCCTAATCCTAGGAAGAGAAAATGCAACCTCAAAACCTTATGTTATGGCAGGGTAGACAAGGCCCTTAGCCTTGGCAAGTGGTCTAAGAGGGAAGGGGTCTAGATAGTGCACTGCTCTTCTGCAGCCTGCTTTATTCTAAATGTACTGGTATTACCTTTGCTTTGGAGTAAACAAGGCAGGTTGAGAGAGGGATCATGTTGCATGGGCACATATGGTCTCTACAATACTGCCAAGGATTGGTGCTAGGGAGAGGATGAACTCCAATGTAACACTATTGTTTGGAAAGATGGAAAGATGCCAATCATTATATTTTTATCCTGTACTGACATGGGAAATAAAACAGGGTTTTTCCCAAGACTAGCTAATGTGTTGTGGAGCCCCGAGGGGAAGCAGAGAGAGCTGAAACACTTTAACGGAGCACATTCTGCAGGCAGGCCCGCCTACTATATTTACAACTTTGAGAAACCTGTCCTCAGGAGCCAAGAGTGCAGATAAAGCTATGAGGAACAATTGAGGATATGCACCTGATGGTGTAGCCTGAGCATAAGGAACCTAACGCCAAGAAGAATCAGAAGAAACAGTGCAGCCTGTTAACCATGTCACAAAAGCAATGAGGGGTATAATTTGTTTTATAGTTGGCCACTCCATTCCCAAAATGTCTTAGCTGCAAAAGCCAATGAACTAAAATCAAGTCTTTAAAAAAGCAAACATGAATTATTTAGCCAACCAGGATAAGGGAAGACTATTCTCTTTAAAAACCTATGAAGCAATGAGAGGAGTGAGTGATGTCAAAATAAATGAACATAGATCAAAAGGTTTAAAAAAAAGAAGTGAAAGATAGGAAACTTGGGATGAGTTAGTCTGGGGATTAAAGGCGGCAGAAATACCTTATGTAATAATTCTACGTGTGTATAGTAGTCAACTTATCTTTGCCCGACTACTTCCATCAACAACAAACTGCATTTATGGTGGCAACTGTTAGCTTTGGCACCTCTAGCAACTGACATTTGCATTTACTGCATGCGCATATTTCTAGATTCTTCTGGAATAAATTGCTTGGTCAGATAGTTAAATAGTGATCACTTTTAGAAAACTGATTAGCATAAGTTCCACTGTTTATTACCCATGAAGAAAAAAAAATGGTGACCTGATCTACATTCAGAAAGCAATGGCAAACTACTGGACATAAATTTGACTAGAAAAACCACAACAGTCAAAAGATGCTGGGGTTGGTTATGCAACATCCTGTAGAGGATATGCAAATAACTTTTCAACTTGATCTATCTTGAAGTCAGTTAAATTTTCCAATTAAAAATCTTCTTTTTAAAAAAATATTTTCCAATGGAATCTGCAAAACATGAAGTTTAATTGCAGAAGTAAGCATGTTCATGACACTGAATTAACTTTAATATGGTTGCATGAATTATGTTTGTTATTACTTTAAATTGTTAAGGAAAATAATCTTAATCATTTTAATAATAAAATAATTAATAATTAATTATCCATAGTAAATTTTAAATTAAACTATGTATATAAACTCAGTCAAACCTTGAACTTTTGATTATTTGCAATGACAGCACCTTCTTTCTTCCAAAGAACACTTGGCATTGGCTGACCTTTGACTTGGCAGGTGAAGGTAGCTGTTTCACCCTCATGAGCAGCAAGGTTCGAGGGATGGACAACAAAACCAGGGGGTTCTGGGTGCTCTACTTCTGCATGCAAGGAAGGGTTACACAAAAACATAAACTAAAAGGGTGCAGAAATCAAAATAAAACCAACATGCTTAATCTTTACAGGCCCTTGAAAATGAAACAAACACACCCATGATATATAGCTTGACTAAAATTAAACACTGTATTAGGTTATTTGCTGTTTTAATGTTTACTTTGTAATGCGAAAGTTATTTACAAAATAAACCTACAGCAAATGATTCTCTGAAAACTGCTGGAACAAAGATAGAAAGTTCCCAGTGCATAGCTACTATGACAGCATTTTATCATTCTGTGATGCACACAGAGAACAATACTAAATAATACTTGTAATTACTGCACACATGGCACTCACACATAAACATTAAAAAAAACAACAACAAAAACAATGAGAGAACAAAGAAGTAAATGGGAAATAACCATGCTTATAGGATCAAAGAGATATGAAGGGAAATAGAGTACCACTATATTTTTAATAAATAAACAAAATGTGTTCCAAAAGAGGTCAGAAATAGCAAGCAAAAAAGCCATAATGAGCTGAACAGATTAATTATAGTATAAATGAAAAAAGGGTGTAAAATGAGAAATAAATTAACAGTATAAAAAAAACTAAGGGCAGGAAATGATGTTTAAGACATGTTTAGTAACGTTAGGTACAGAGGGCAGTTTAGTGGTTGCCAGAGCTGTAGAAGTCGCTAGTGTCTGTGGATGTAAGACGGTAAATGTGTTACAGTTCAGTTGATTGTTGAGATACTGTTGCCCTAGTAATAATCTTGCTAATATAGGTGACTTATAAACTGCTAATTTGTGTATTTGTTTCACAGCTCACAAGGAAACCAAATGAAATATCTTCTTATTATTATAGAGTTCACCGACTGTAAACTGTGGCAGAAAGCTCTGGTTGTAAATCCACTTCTGAAACTTTAGTCTTTTTCTAGAACTTTAATTCTGTATGCACACCTATTTTACAGACTTGACTTACTTGTATGCAGATTGTTGGTTCATCACCTCTGAGGTAGATGCACTCTGACTTCAGAGGCAAAATGCCTATTTAGTCATGTTTTACGACGTGCTACTTAGGGAGGTGGTGAGTCTTTTTGTTTTTTTACCACCCAAAAGTGAACCCTGAACTCACACAGAGAATTTGAAATGTAAACTGTTATAACTCTACAGTATCCTCTTCCTGTTATCCATTTCATGTCACATAGGCTTGTCAATTTACTCTTTCATTCCATTCCAATGCTGCTTCAGCGGTTTCTACAAACTTCTGTAGCACACTGTTTTATAGGTGCGAGAACTGACACATTGCCCAGCCCTTCTTTTTTTTTTTCTGAGCTTGGGACCAGCAATGGCAAATATCTAAATGTAGGTGGATAATATACCTGACCCAGGACTCCCACACAGACCAGCTAAAATAGGTACATGGAAAAGTCCTGAGAAGTAAAGGGGACTAGCATGATGTTGCTTGCTAAATGGTCTACAAAACTACTAATCTAGCATTCATGTAACACTGCAGTTTATGATACAGTTAGTTCTAATAAGTCAGTAAAGGACCCTTTTGCACACCTTTAGGCGTATAGGGCATATAGGGCTAGACCTATATTTTTATAGAGCAATAGGCACAAGATGGGTCATGTGGTCAGAATCACGCCGGCCGCCTTTACTTCCCGGGAATGCACCCCGGTACCCACTCAAGGCTGGGTCGACCTCGAGCCAAGGTCATTTTTGAAAAAAGTCCGGCTCTTCCAGGGAGCGAACCCATGACCTTCTGATCTGCGGTAAGCATCTAGCCACTCCGCTACGGCGACTCCCCAGTTAGTTCTAATAAGCATTCATTATATCAAGTGAAGACGCTTTTAGAATTTATTAATTTGCTTTAAAAATAGCTGGGCAGAAAACATTAAATATTACTAGAAATAAGAATTGTGTAAAATTATAACACAATAAATTTTGCAAGGTTTAGGTTAATTAATTTAATATATCTAAAATTAACTAATTTTATTTGAATGTGAATATTACAATACATCTGTCATGCCCAACAGCAGATGTAAGGCTTTGCAAGGAATGGATTTCTAAAACATTGGAAAGATTAAGTATACAGTGATAACAAATACAAAAATCAGGCTTGATAAAGATTATAAGTGCAATTATAGAGATCATGAAGAAACCACTCAGTCATGTATTTAAATGTAGAAGTTTGAGAGAAAAATGCTATTTCTAGCAGTGGATATTATTAGTTTATGAACATTGTGTTTTTGGTTAAAATAAAGTGAATTTAACACATCACTGTATCTAGCAAACAAACCAGATGAATTTGTTGAAGATTGTTTCCCTCTTCCTTCACTGCTCTAATCACCCATCTTCTTCTCCTCTTTCCTACTCCATGGACCACATCCTTCTCCCTCCCTCTGCATCTCGCTTCTGCTTTCCTCTTGTGCTACTTCATTTGTTCCTCCTCCTCCTTCTTCTTATTATTATTATTATTATTATTATTATTATTATGATTGTTATTATTTTAATTCAAAATCAGACATTCATGCTAATGTTTCTAACAAAAGCAATAGTTAATTTCAAGTGCAGGACATTTAATAAGCTACGTAGAAACATATCTCCACCTCAGTGAGACATGCTGTATTGTGCATGGGTAAGTATGTGAGTTTATGCACTCAGGCATATGACTTTAATTATTAAATGTCTCTTGACCTCTCCACTGGTTTTAAATTACAAATATTGTAATCTGTTTGTAAAGCAGCAGACTAGTATTAACAAGACCATGCAGTTATTTAGCAGTGAACTACTGAAAGTGGAAGTGAAACTTCACAGGAACGAAAAATCATGACAGAAAATTGTCTTGGGTTGCACATGAGATATACAAATTAGGACAATAAGGATTTATGTCTGGGCTGACATCGGTTAAGTCCTGACTGTCAGTTGCACAAGCCAAGACCTGCATACAAATCATAAAAGGCATCCACTTTAGAGAAGGAAGGTCTTGGATCAATCAAACAAGTAGACAGTGTCGTATGATGTTGATTCTTAATTAGGTAAATGAAATAGAAACATTTGCTCATCATATTCATATGGAAATATGTCAAGCTGAGTTCTTTCCTGACCCAAGTTGATGTTGCTTCAGCTAGTTTCACTAGAACGTATACTTTTATTTCCAAAGCAAATAATTTATTTAACAGTTATTTTACAGCAAAACCTCATTAAAATGACAAACACTTAAGCTTAACATAGACACAGTTAACCCAAACTGCAAGGCAGTCTCCCAATCCATACACTTACTACCAGCCTCATTGTTTAGGCTCAGACTTTTCTATAAAGACTGTTTTCATTGCAGTCAAAGGTCTTCTTGGTTTATCTAATCTAGAACTATGAGTAGAAACATGTTCTGTTAATTAGGTTGCCAGTGTCACACACTGATCCCATTCCTATGTGTTCTATGTCCTATGCTGAAAAGGGTGGCAGGAATGGTTGCTTAACTACTTTCCCATAACAAGAATGTTGTAAAAGGTGAGTTTTGCAGGATTGTCTGCTGCAAGCAGATATGTTAGGCTGAAAGGTGTAACTTTGAAGACTATAGCTGTAGGGCAAATGAAGAAGAAGAATCAAGATACTGACTGAGTGGATAAGAAAATACGGACCCAACACAATATCCCTACATTATTTGATGGTATAGAAACAAATCAGCACATAGAAACATCTCATTCATACTCATTCCCATCCTTTGCTGTAAGTGCCAAACATGGTCATTCGCAATAAAACATAAAAGAAAATTAGTAACCATGGAAACGAGGTGTCTGAGAAAGACTGTAGGAGTGACCAGAAGAGATAAAAATCAGGAATGAGGTTATACGAGAACCAATTCTAAATTACCTTCAAAGTCAGCAAATGTATGGTTTGCTCAGTTGGAGAGAATGCTTTCTGATGTTACACCATTCAAGGCATATACCAAAAGAGGAGAGGGAGGTACAGTAAGAGGTAGACCAAGAACAAGATGGAAAGATAATATCAGAGAAACTCTACAGCCACACGATGTGTCTATGGTCATAGCAGCCAGAAGAGCACGAAGCAAGACCTTATTTCTTCCTCGACACCCAAAGCAGTTAAAGAGGACGTAAAGAATAAGAAATTAGAAACAAAGCCTGTTTAACATTTGGTGAAGGGTAATCTAAACTTAGCCACAAAAACTGACATAAACATTTTGGCAAGAATACCTCTCACTTCTATAATGCAAAATGTGTCTGAGCTGCCCAAATCATTAAATGCCTCACACACATATTCTCCTGATGACTCTGATGATGCATTTAACTGTGTTAGGGTGTGGACGTGGCCTACTGAAGACATGAGGTATTGTGCACCGCCAGGAATAATCTCCAAATTGTTGTGGTACCAGCAGACTTTCAAGGGAGGGGTTCCTAAAGAGGGAAATATAATCACATATGCAGGCAGGCATGCAACACATGCAGGATCAAGGCGATAACAGAGGTTATTTAAAAAAAAAACACAGCATTCAAGTATCATAAACCCTTTATAAAGTGACTAGAAATCTCAACGTAGGGAATGGAAAAGATGTGTACAAATACAACTGAATTGTGTATGCCGTGCGGAAATAAGTTTGTAAAAACAGTTAGTTGCATATCCTTTACAGGACCTTGCAGAACCAACTCCAGCATTATTCTGTGGCTGTTATAGTTTTTCTAGGCAAGCTGAATTTTTACTTACTCTTAATTCTTTTAAGTTTAACAGCAAGTAAAGGTAAAAGTGAGGAGATGTGAAACCAGCGTCACTGCACATGGTTATAAACCATAAGTGCTCTGCCACCAGTACGGACAGCTGACAAGAAACTGTCTGCCTGTGTACCCATCCGCATGAAACTCTGTAGCTACAGCGACGTTGCTCCATTTACCCAGAGTGTCACTTTAGTACCCATTTCCTAGAGGCTGGGTGAACCCCGGGAACCGCCCGGTTTTCGAACACTAACCGTGGCTGCAGAGTCGCAGCTGGATTTGAAAGCAAGCCTCCTATCGACTGCACTAATGTGGCTCCCGAAAAGTATTTTACTAAATCAGTGGTGTTGTGATGGGTTCCAAAATGGATTCTAGCTATGCATGCCTCTCTATAATTCCTTGCATTCATCTTTCTAGTCACATGTTATGTTATTTAGCACTTCTTGTCATCATATGCACTGTAGTTGCACCCTGTTGTGACAACGAGGCTTAACAAAAGTGGGAAGAGGGACAGCGTACAGACAACATCCCATTTTTCTTGTGGGTGTACATTGTCCCCCTTTCCTTCTTCTTTAATCTTCGTTAGTCACACTGCAGTGAAATAATTATTTTGATATTAGCTTGGCTGTAGTCACTCCAGTTTTAATCACTGTCAAAAAAGTGGTGTGCTTAGTACTGGAGTAACATAGGGGTAACAGATAAGTAGTTGTTTTTTTTAAATGACTTGAGGTTCTAAATTTGTTTTTCAGAAAATTTTGACAATAAATGTATTACTGTCACAATCAATAACATATGTTTGAACTCTGGAATACATTTGTTTTACATATTTTATTAAAAATCACCTGAGAAAAATTCACCCGCAAAACCAAGAAGTGATTCACAAATAAGACTGGGGGATAAAGTAAAGAAAAAAGATCTAAATGATCAAAATATTGGCTAGGCCAATATATTGGCTACTAATGTACTGGGGAAAGAGATACTGAAACAATTTGTCCCTGCAGCAAAAAGCCTTGCACAGTACCATTAGCTACAATCATTTTAGACATTGTTAAAAAAAAAAAAAAAAAGCTGTGAAATTTAGTTAATATTATAGGCATACATTTTTTTTTTTAGTGGGGTGTGATTCAATGATGGTGTGTACTTTCCACATTATGTGTTGTTGTTTATTGCATGCCTTAGTCGCTTAATCCGTGAGAAATACTAGGCTTATGTCCTATTGAATAAGTAACTAAAAGTATTTTTTTTTTTTTTTAATGGACCCTTTTCCACACTCTCAGCCGTATTAGGCACACGGGGCTAGACCTATATTTTATAGACCAACTGGCACTCACTGGGTGATGTGGTCAACATAATGCTAGCTGCCTTTACTTCCCGCGACTTTAAAGGATACCCATTTTAGGCTGGGTAGACATGTGGCTGAGGTTTTTTTTTTTTTTTTCATAGTCTGGCTCCATCAGGATCTGAACCCACCACCTTCAGATCCACAGGCGAGCATCTAGCCGCTACACCATGGTAGCTCCCAAGTGGAACTAAACTTCTGCTTTTCATATTAGGTCATAAGTCAATTTGAATGATCTTGTTTTCTAAATCAAAACTGGAGATCTTAAATTTAATTTAAAAAATAAAAAATAAACTAGTAGAACACCCAAAATTTTTTATTTAAATACTGCCTTACAAACGCCATGTTAGTGCTTAAACTGCAAAACTGCAAAATATTTACAAAATATGATTAAACTGGTCAGTTCGGCAGATAAATCTATGACTACTTAACCTACATCAAAACTTGTAATATGTGGATTATAAGTATAGTTGTGACCATAAGGGAACCACTCAAACCTAACTAAACGTAACAACATGCCGTAGCTATCAACTAAAGAACTCTAATGATATAACTAATGATCTATGATCAAAAGAGCACATCACTCCATAATCTAAAGAAATTTATGAAAACAAGAAACAGGTCACATTGCTTCCCTCACCAAGCACTGGAAAGATAAATTGAAAGAACAACATACATTAGTCTCTAAACAATATGTGTATATGCTGAGTGTATTATCTTTGAAATGAGCTAGAAAATACATGTACAGTGTATTACATGCATTCGTTCACGGACATGCCAGAATGTATTGCACTGCACTGCTGTACTTTTGATAAAAAGTTAAATTGTACTATATCAGAAACTACGTTACTCTTTCAAAACCAAGCAGATATTACATTATCTCATTTCAAGATAAAAAAAAACTTATATTTTTGATATTTCTGACAGGAAATTTTCAGTCCAAGAGTTAACCCAGTTGCCTGGAAGCACTTTAAAAAATGGGTCATGACCCTGTGGGAATTACCAGAAATTTTTTTTTTTTTAAACAGTTACAACAAAAATGTGTAGAGATTACTTTCTTTTAAAAAGTTTTTTAAAATATTTATTTTCACTGTATATTTGTGTATGTTTTCTTCGGGGGAGGGGGGTGGGGAGATATAATAAAGATCTATAAAGTGAGTAATCGATAAACACAAACAGAATGAAGTATTAAATGGAATACATTCCCCAGAGCCTAAAATCTAGATGTTTTAGGTGACTCGTTTCATGAAAATGTGATGTCAACATGGAATTAACAAAGTCAATTGATTCACAAGGAAACACCCCCCTCTTTTTTCCGTCGCATACTATTTTTAGTAAATATATTCATATCAGGGTGAAGTTATGGAATCTGATAGCATTTAACTCTTCTTTTGCCAGCCTGTATATTCTAAGAATATTGCAGATGTATGATTACGATAAAGAAAGGAGCCTGCACGAAATGTATTTTGTTTTATATATGTATTTAATATTCTTCTTCTTGTTTTCCCCAGCTGTAATCTACACTCAAATGTTCTGGATGTTCAAGCACCTCTGGACATTAGTCTTGTTCCAGAACCTGAGTGTGTTGTGCACTTCTAGTTCACAGCTCTGGCTTATTTGTATGCAGACTCTTGGTTCTTTGCCTTTCAGGCAGATGTACTACAACTTTGAAGGATTCCCTCAACTAGTCGACTCCTATGACATACTTGATAGGGATGCAGTGCATTTATTCTTGTCTTCCCAACAATAGGACTCCGGAACCCACACACATTTACTCTATTGTCATCTGAAATGTTATTTTCTTAACCAGATATTTTTTATTAAAAATAAGAAACTTATTCTTCTCACTTAGGTTTTATTATGTTTAAAGGTTAGAGTCGAGAGGATCAACTTCATTGCACTGGGTTTTATCCCATATGGCTTGGTCTCTCTTCACAGAGCAGCTAGCCACCTACCAAGAAAGCCGCACAGAGCACAAACTCTGTAGCTCCGGCAATGATTCCCAGGTATCTCTGTAAATATTGCATTCATGAGTGAATGGCACAGCCGTGAAACAAACCCATGACCTTCAGAGTGTGAGGCAAATGGCTTGACCACTTCATCACAGAGGCCCATCTGTTATGTTTGTTCATAGCTAAGTTTGTGATAATTGCTCCATTTAGTCTCCATTTTAGACAAGTCATGAATCATAGTCTCAGTTATTAATTTAAGTAAGAAGAAGTTGTTGGGAATCCTCAGTTTACATACAGACTTCATAAATGAATGGTAATTGAAGAACACCTCTTAGTTAGTTGGAACCCGTTTGGGGCATCTTTTTTTTTCAAACCAGATGCAAAAAATTTATTGAGTTTTACAGACATATTAATTTGACATGTTAAAAGAAGTTAAGACATGACTTATTATTGTTTCTGGTATCAGAGTGATACAATGGACAAATAGCACTTAAGAGATTGCAGCCATCTTTTCTTTACTTTGAATTCCAGCGATCCCAGCTTTAACTCCATATCATGCCGTTCCTTTACAAAAACAGGTGGTTCCCTTTGTTTCTGGGGCTGTTGATGAGAGTTCCTTTCTAGTCTTTATAGGAACCCGTTGGGGCATGGGTCTTTTTGTCTAACTATGAAGAAATGTGCAGCATCATAAGAATAGTCATAACCTAGCACTTACATTTGAGAATTATATTGCAAGATGTCTCCAGTTCTCCGTTCTTTCCAGTCATGACACATTTAAATTCCCCAGCATCTCGCTCTTTGATCTCCTTGATACTCAGCGTTGCTGTCTGGGCCACATGCTGGAGTTTGATGTGGAAACCAGAGAATAGTTCTTTCCCATTGTGAAACCATCTAACCGAAGGCTGTATCAAATCTGAAGAATGAAAGATAGGTGACTATTTAAATCATAATAAACACTGATCAATGATCAATGAAATAATACCTTTTTTTTTAAGTTATATTGATTTTGGTCATATCAAGCTCCACGACGGATTGGAAAAAATTGTAGCAGAAAGCATGGTACCAGGAAGGAGGGGCAGGGGCCGACTGACACGAAAATGCATGAAGCGGGAGAACTGGCGAGAGACCGAGTTTCTTTCTGGCAGACTGTGATGAGAGCAACGTTCTGCAAAGGACCTGCTACATGATGATGAAGAGTTATAATGTCATTCATGATATAAATATACTGTATCACAAAATAAAATATTTTTAAAAAAATGTGTCATGATAGTATGTTCAACTCTCTAGGGTTTATAATTCTGTTGCCATTTCAGATGCTGGATTTATTTATTTATTCTTTTTAGCAAATGTATTATTCATGTCATCCTTTTCACCTTCTTCACAGAATGTCCTGTTGAATGCCTGTAGTCAGTTGATTCAAATGTTGCTGAATTATTGCTTGGGTGACCTTCAAGAACCTCCAGCCTATCTGTAAAGTATTTGTGTTACTGACAGACTGGCTCTTACCCTAAAGTTTGTCTGACTTAACACGTATTTTTGCTACTGAGAGACTGGCCCTTACCTGCAGTTTGTCTCACTTGACAAGTATTTGTGTTACTGACAGACTGGCCCTTACCCTAAAGTTTGTCTGACTTGACAAGTACTCAGACTATTGTTAGCAAAGGTCTTGTAATTATAAGAACACCCAAACTTCTCTAGTGCTTCACAGTTTAGACATGGGAAAGAAGAAAATTGCTTTAATATCCTTCTTTTGTGTACTTTCTTCTTTGCATAGAGATATCTGTTATTCTCCTTTAAATTCTCCTGCTATTCTTTTTAAATTATCAAAGTCTAGTATTATAAGACCAGATTATAAATACTCCTTTAACTGGGGGAGTTTTTTCATATTCATGTAAACAATATGGTGGTTATGAAAATTTACAGCTGTAAAATCACTTTGGCAGACTGTGCAATGGAGTTAGTTGCCTATTATATGGTCACGGATTACTTCTAAAACTCAAGCTGAAACAATCAACAATTTTGAAAACTGCTTAAAAATGTCTAGATAAGTGCAGCCTTTATATTTACATGATATTTCCAAGTGAAAAATGCCCTTTTCACATATTCAAGTAATACATTTTTAACAGATTATGTTTGTCCGTTTAATATGTTGGGTATGTGTCACAACTGCATAATATCAGCCATTTCATGATATCACTGTTTTTTTTTTTAAGGGGAGGGGGTATGTTTTCTTCACTGTTCTTTTTACAATTTAGAAAGCAATGAATACTACCAAATGTGAATATAGTAAAACCAACTGTAGCCAACAGTTGTTGGGGTCTGTTTGCAACCCCCTGAAAAGAATTTGCAAAATAATTGTAGCAAACAAAAACATACATACTTCTCCCAAATGCAATGTTAAAGTCCTGATACATGCAGAAATATCCTTAGAAAGAGGAATATGAAATTGATAATGTCAATAAGAATTGTAAGAATTAACTTCTGGTCCAGGAAAACCCCAGGTTCTCACCAATGTCTCCTTACCTCTACTAGTGCAGACAAGTTCCACCCCTTCATCCCCCTCTTCGACTACCACATCTTGCAAACTTTGTTCCCATTCAGGGCCGCTTCTTGACAGCAGCTTTGGTTTTTCTGTGAAAGAATTACATGTAATTTGTTCAAGCCATAACATTACAACTAGAATATTTTATCACCGGAATCCACAAGGTCAAAGGATTAAAAGGAGACCCAACAAAAGAAAACAAAAACAGAAAAGACAAGAGAAGTAGATAGCTTACTTACTTTACTACTTAGTCGCTCCTCTTCTACCTTGGGGTTTGCCAGAGAGATCGCCAGACGTCTCTATCAGCAGTTTTCTTTCTGGCTTTGTTCCATTCCAGTCCTCTGTCAGTCAGGGACTGTCGGATGTTGTCTTCCAAGCGCACCCTGGGTCGTCCCAGAGGTCTGGTTCCCTGGTTCTTAGCCTCCCATGCTTGCCATGGTGGCCGATTTTCTCCCATTCTGCACACATGTCCAAACCATCGTAACTGTGACTGATCCACTCGGGTTAGTAAGGGCTGGGTATCAAGATCTTGACGTATTGTCTGATTGCGGACTTTGTCCCTTCTTGTCACTTGGACCACCTTTCTCAGGTATCTCATTTCCGAGGCCTGCAGCTGGCTTCTGTGAGCTGTTGTCATTGCCCATGACTCACACCCATAGGTCAGGACTGGTACATAGGTAGAGCGGTAAACAGCCGTTTTCGTCCTCTTGCCAATTTCTCTTTTGCTAAGAAACCCTCGGTTTATGGCCTGGAAGAGTCTCCCAGCAGCTGATTTTCGTGTAGCCAGCTCAGTCTTAATGCCTCCATTTTGGTCTAATACAACTCCAAGGTATTTGAACTGGTTAACCTGCTCCAACGCATACTGACCCATCATGATCTGGTGTTTCTTCTCCTCTCTTGAGATCACCATGGATTTAGTTTTGGAGACACTGATGGTCATCCCTTTCTTTTCAAGCTCTTCCTTCCAGACCAGTAAGTTGGACTGAAGGTGTGCCTCTGATTTAGCTATCAGGGCCACATCGTCTGCAAAAGCCAGCTCTGATATACAGATTGGTCTCATCTTCCGGTACCCTACAGAGTACTTCTTTGTCTTCTCCTTACAGGTCTTGATGACATCATCCATCATAAGAATGAAGAGGTAAGGTGAGAGAATATCACCTTGTCTAACACTGCTGGTGGTCTTAAATTCTTCTGACTTTTGGTCTGCTGTTCTTACATAATTTCTGCACTTTTTGTAGAAACTCTGTATTGCACTGATCAGGGGTGCTGGGATGTTTTTCCCTGCCAAGCAGTCCCAGAGCTTGTTCCAGGGTACCTTGTCAAATGCCTTTTTCAGATCCAAAAAACATAAGTGAATCTCACTCTTATATTCCAGGGCTTTTTCACTCATCTGTCTCAGTGTGAAGATATGGTCTTGAGTACTTCGGTTTGCTCTGAAGCCGTATTGGGCCTCGTCCAGCTGTGGCTCTACCAGACTTCTAAGTCTCTGCTCAAGAATTCTAGAGTAACTTTTACCGGGAATGCTGAGGAGGGATATGCCTCTGTGGTTTTCACATTGTCTGTTATCACCTTTTTTAAATATAGGTATAATGATGGCAATCTCCCAATCTTTTGGTATAGTTTTGCTACACCAGGCTGCCTGGAGAACCTTCAGTAGAAGGCGCTCACCTTCGACTCCCATATATTTGACCATCTCTGGTGTTATACCATCATGACCTGCTGCTTTTCCCAGCTTAATCTTCTCAATAGCTGCCTTCAATTCTTCCATCCTGATGTTATCTTCCCCATGATTGAATTCCTTCTCAGCAGTGAGGTCCATTATTTCTGGGTCATGACTTCCCTCAGCGCCGAGGAGCTCTGAGAAGTATTCTTTCCATCTGCCCATGATATCATTTGTAGAAGTAAGCAGAGCCCCTTCCTTGTCTTTTATGAATTTAAGTGGGCACTCTTTCTCCTTCCTCATGTTCTTAAGGGTCTTGTAGAACAGTTTTTGGTTTTCTCTTGCATTCTTTTCCAACTTTTCTCCAAATCTTCCCATGATTTCTCTTTTGCTTTAAGCACAATATTTTTGGTCTCTGTTCTGAGTGCCACATATTGTTTATATTTTTCTATTTCTTCAGCTGTGTTCCTGGCTGCCAGGTATTGCTTCCACGCCCTTTTCTTTTCTCCTATTTTCAATTTGACTTCTTCTGTCCACCAAGGTGTCCTGTGTCCCCGCCTTCCACTTGGGACTTCACCACATGCTTCTACTGCAGCTGCTGTGAGGATATTCTTGAATCTGCACCAGAGAGTTTCAGTGTCCTCTGATGATTCTTCTTCAGTTCCTATTGCTTTCACTATAAGCTCCTGGTATCTAGCCTTAATATCTGGCTCTCTTAGCTTGTATGCTTTAATCCTCATCCCTTCTTGGTTGCTTGGTTTCTTGCATAGTTGTCGGTGTTGCCTTGTTGGAGCAGTTCTTTCAGTTGTTCTCTTTATTGTGACCAGATAGTGGTCACTTCCAATCTCTGGTCCTCTCATGACTCTGGCATCTCTCACAAACTTGAATGAACTTTTCCTAACTATGGCGTAGTCAATGATGGATTTTTCATTCTTTGAAGGTTCACATCTTGTGTATGCATGTATACGCTTGTGGGGGAATTTTGTGTTTGTAATGACAAGGTTCTGTTCCCTGCAGAATCTGAGAAGTCGCTTGCCATTATCATTCAAAACATCTTCACCATATCTCCCGATCACTCCACCCCATCTAGAGTGATCATTTCCTACTCTGGCATTTAGATCTCCTAGGAGGATAATTTCATCGTGACAGTCATCTATGGTCTTTTGGAGCAGTTCAAAGAATTCTTCTTTAACATCTACTCGCTCATCTTCATTTGGCCCGTACACAATGACAAAATTGACAATTTTATCTTCTTCTTTCAGATCTAACACCATTATTCGCTCTGAGATGAATTTCCATCCCTTGATGTTACTAACTTGATTCCTGGCCACAATGCAGCCAACACCTCCCTTGGCTCTCTCCGTCATAGGGACACCACTGTAGAGAAGCATACTTCCATCATGATCTGTGATTCCTTGCCCCTTTTTCTTGGTTTCAGTCAGAGCCAAGACTCCTAATTTTGCTTTCCTCATCTCCCCTACTAACTCGTTTTCCTTTCCGTTAATGCCTCTTATATTCCATGTTCCATAAATCGTAGTCCGTAAGCCATGCCAGTTCGTCGCCGTTAAGATCCGTCCGGTTTTCTCTCTGTAGTTACTTGTAATCGTGGTTTAAGGCAAACAGGTGATTGGCCTGTTGTGCCTTTGCATGGTGGAGGGGCTGCCTCCTTGCGGCCTCCATGCAGGCCGTCTGGCTGATTCATTGTTACCCACTACTTCCGGAGACGCATGAAGCACTCAGGTTCAGCCAGACCCTCCTCCTTTTACAGCCGGGCTTGGGACCGGTCTTAGCGGAGTTCCTAGATAGCTAAGGGGAAAAAAATAGGGATGACCCGCTATGAGCTACAACCAATAGCAAATGTGAAATGACTTCATGTCAGCTGGTTGAGACAATATGCTCATTTGGAGGAAAAATAGAAAAAAGAATTAATTTAAAAAAAAGCTTTGGAAGATGGTCAAGTGATTGAATATTTCTTAATGTTGAAGACATGGGCTCTCACTTTGATAAATAAATGTTTTTGTTTAATGGAGGCCAGATTTAAGACATAAATACTAATAATAATCTTAAGGCACAATCTTCTACAGTGTGTTTCAACCTTTCGAGGACATTAGGAATCTGTCTTGGTTTTCTAAAGCAGTGTTCCTCAAACGTTTCTGACCCGCAGCCTGCAAATATAGGGGGAATTGTTTCATGGTCTACATGACAGCTAACCAAGGTAGGTAGGTAGTTGTACCCCACCAGGACATCTCACATGCGATAAACACAAAGTGCGACCATGTGGATGAGGATCACCCGTGGAGAGAGGACCAAGAAACCCCTTACAGTCATTAAGGCCATATCTATGGCATGGCCATATTTATGGCATGGCTAAATTCAGGGCCCCTGCCAAAAGCCAGAGTGAGGCTTCAGAATAATAAATTGCATCCCGCGAGGGGACGACAAGACTAACTCCTCAAACTAAGCAAAAACAAATGTAGATAGCAGTTCATTTATTCAATCTTATATCACAAAATTACAATTTTCAGCCAATGCCACATCTTTTGAGCCTCATATTTGGGGTGGTAATCATACATCTGTAATCTTGGAAGAGAAAAACTACTTTCCATATCCCATTACACATTTTGGAAGAAATTTTAGCAGCCCACCAGTTGACAAACACAGTTCTAAAGCTCTCAACCTTCCTAATGCAGCGACCTTTTAATACCGTTCCTCATTTTGTGGCGAAACCCAAAAATAGAATTATTTTTGCTACTTCATAGCTTCAATGAATATGTGTTTGCCGATGGTCTTAGGTGACAATTCGTAGTGAAAGGTTCGTGCAACCCCCAAAATGGTCGCGACCTACAGAATGAGAACCGCTGCCCTAAACTTCAAATGGAGCAAACTGTACAGCACAGTGTGATAATGTAGCAGAGACGCCAGAACTTGAGCACCCAGTCTTAACCCCCCCCCCCCCCAACAATATTTATGGGGCGGAGGAGGGGGGTGAGAAATTATGTTTTTAAGTATCTGTGGTACTTTTCTTTTAGTTCACCCCATCTCAGGGCCTCCGGGACATTACAGGAAATTCCTGAGAAAGCCTAATATGATAGGAGGGTTAAGGTTAGCTGGTGTTTGTTTCACATCCTAACACCCTTATACTAAAAAGTATTGGATTCAAAGAGATGGTGAACTAAAAGAAAAGAACCGTATCTTTTTTACATTTCATATTTTTTCAAAAGTATTATTATATTTATTTACCATTTATTGCTGTATTTTTATTATTATTATGCTCTTAAACTTGAGTTTCTCGACATTCTGTCTTGAAAATACGTATATATGTATATATCTCCGAGTAGTGGGGAGCTGAACCTCTCTCCTAATATTTTCGCCATACCTGCATGCCTGGAGTATAGGGACATTAGTCATCGTTGTCTGGGCGTTCAGCATTCAACTTCTATAATGGGTTCAGCAAAGGAAAATGCACTCTAAGGTAGCCCAGAGCAACTTATCGTCTCGTCACAAAACACCATCACAGCTATCAAATCACTAGGACTCACCGTGCTGTAGCGTCTAGACACTCAACTGCTAATCGGAAGGTCGTGGGTTTGGGTCCTGTCGATCCCCGACTTTTTTTTTTTAAATAACCTTTACTCCCAGGTGGACCCCACCTTAAATGGGTACCAGGTGTAGTCCTGGGAGCTAGTGGTGGCAGGCGTAATGCTGACCACGTCACCCACTAAATATAGGTTTAGCCTTGTATGCCCAATGCGCCATATGGCGTGGAAAAGGGTCCTTTATCAAACCACTGATAGTTTTATAAGGGCAATACAAGAATATTGACATAAACAGGTTCACAACTCATGCTCCACATACCAAACACCTCCAGTTCTGCCTCGGCTGTGTCAGATCCCGCCAAATTTTGAACGGTCACGCTGTACATTCCAATATCTTCTGCTGATACCTTCTCCACTTCCAGAAATTGGAATCCGTCTGCTTCATACATCTTGGAACAGGAATTAGAGAAAGCGTTAATGATGTATTCCCTACAGATTACACCTTACCTTTTAATCTCTAAAAAATACAAAACGTAGGCAACCTATCCGGAAGTTATAGTTTAAAGTCTAACACATTTTGGGGAGGAATGGGGTACAAACATCCATACTGACATAATGAGTTAATGTATCAACTACCTGTGTAGACAGAGGTGTGCATTGTCTATAGACCACCCCGGGAACGATGATCGGAGAGAGACAGAAATATGGGCTGCATTCTGTAACCTATCCACTCATTTCAAGTTAGCGGTCGGAGGGAGGGGTGAGTGTGTGTGTATGTGTGTCCACCCCCTCCCCCCTTTTTTGTAAGTGTGTGTGTGTGTGATCGCGCAGACACCTGGTTTCATTTTATGGCATGTCATCTGAGCCTATCGGCTCTGTAGCTAAGTCGATGCGAACGCTTCGTAATGCCGGGATGCCGGGTTCGATTCTAACTGCGGGCCATACGCCTTACGTTAGTTTCGACAGTGGTATCAAGAAAGCCGACCGTCAAGAAAAGCAATGGCAAACTACTGGATGTAAATTTGCCTGGAAAAACGACACAACAGCCAGGGGATGCTGGGGTTGGTTCTGAAACGTCCTGTAAAGGATACGCAACTAACCAACTGTACCCACTGTGGATGATTAAATAATCTGTTACGACTGAGAAATATGGCCAAAGGCTCTCATCTATTATGATATATGTCAGCGGCGCAATCTCAGGACCAATCATGTCTCCGAGGACTGTGTGAGAGCATAAGGTGGGCGTTTGCAAGTTATTTTAATATCAATTACTTATGTATCAAGTGGCGGCGTCAGTGGCTTAGGCGTTGCGAGTCCGTCTCATAATTCCAACGTACCGCAGTCGAAACCCACTTCTGGCTGTGTGGGTTTTCATCATGGTATGGGGCGTCGCAAGGCGACCAAGCCTAAAATGGGTACCAGGATGGATGTCCTAGGGAAGTAAAGACGGCCGGAGTAATGCTGACCACAACAGCTACCTAGAGCCGATTGGTCAGTAAATATGTGAATGCTCTTCCCATATGCCCGACGCGCATAAAGGCGTGAAAAGGGATCTTTACCTTTTCTTTTTTTTAAAACTTATGTACCAAATATTATCACAAAAGTTTATCAGTTAGAAGGAATAGAGTGGGGGTACAGGAAGTGGACAGAGGGGAGGAGGAGGAGGGGGAAGGAGATGAAGAACAGAGAGAGAAGTCTTTTCTTTATTGTACCGTATTTATAAGATGAATATTCGCTTAGCCCATTTGTAACAGAAGCAGAATATTTTGTATCTATAATTTTTTTTTTTTTAAGAACAAGAAACGTGTGTGTGTACGCGTGCTTATCCTTGCTTATCTTTCAGGCAATTATGATAATGGGTTTCCCGCCTTCAACATAGGTACTCGCCGTGTTATACTATTGCTGTTTCTTGTCGCCTATTTATAACGTAGAGCCTCCGTGGTGAAGCGGACAGACGCTCACCTGCGAATCATAAAGTCGTGGATTCAAATTCGAACGGAGCCGGACTTTTTTTTTTCTTCAAATCACCTTGGCTCCCACGTCGACCGAACCCTGAGTGGTTACCATGTGAAGTCCTGTGAAAGTAAAGGCGGCCGGAGTGATGATGACCGCGTCACCCACCTTGTGTCGACTGGTATATAAAATATAGGTCAAGTAATATATGCCCAATAGTTAAAAGGCGGGAAAAAGTGTTTTTTAAAATCAACGACAGAAGCCGAAACTCCAGCGTTCCAAGCACAAAGTAAAACAGTAGAGATCGTATTATTTCGTCACATTTTACTGTACAATGGTTTAGCCTGTCCGCTCCACGGGAGCAAGAATCAGGGCAGAAAGGTGAGAACATGGTAACCAACCTGTTACGGATGATTCATCGCTTCTTGACGTTGTAATTGTCATGACTAAAGAATATTTCATCAGTTTAATGAAGGACAGTATACATAATTAAGATGCCAGGTTTGAAACTGACATAAAACCCGGCGATACGTTCGTGTTTGTATTTTTGTTCATTTGTGTGTTTGTAGTATGTACTGTAAGATAGTCGGCTCTGTGGCTAAGTCGATGAGAACGCTTCGTAATGCCGGGTTCGATCTCAGCTGCAGGCCATGCGCCTTACGTTGGTTTCGACAGTGGTACCAAAGAAGCCGACCGTCCAGAAAGCAATGGCAAACTACTGGACGTAAATTTGCATAGAAAAACAACGTCCTGTAAAGCCACGTCCTGTAAAGGATACTCAACCTAACTGTAAGATGTCACCGCATACTGTTTGCCAATCTGCACAAATGTGCATACGTGTAATTCACAGAATTGTTGTTACTACTAAGTAAGTAATTAGGAAAGTAAGTTAGTAAAGCTCCCTTTACACTCTAGTGGCGCATTGGGCAAGTTAGGTTAGACTCATTACTGATGTGTGATGTGGTCCAACATTACGCCGGCAGCCTTTACTTCCCAGGACTTTTACCTGCTACCCATTTAAGTCGACCTGGAAGTCAAGGTCACGTTGGTAAAAAAAAAACTGGCACCGTGCGGATTTGAACCCACGACCTTGGGATCCGCAGGCGAGCTGTTGTTGCCAGACAATTAAAAAAGGTATAATTGCATTTCCCTCAATTGACTGCTGGATATTTAGTAACCGCGAGGGTGCTCCAGTATAACTGTTATACGTTTGAATGGAGTTTCCAGGATGTTAGTCACTCATTTAATCGAAAGATTATTCACACTGCACATCGGAAGTCCATAAGCGCTCGGATCCCATCTTTAGTATATCACTCAATGTGTGACGACGGATAACACCTGTTCTGTGTCGGTTTACCATTCTTCTTTGGCTACCTATAGTGTTCATGTTTGACTACACCTCTTTCGAACTGAAGGTCTTGTAATCTTTTGAGTGTTGTCGATTCAACGTCTTCTTCTCGTCCTGCCTGATTGAGAGCATTGAGAACGTAGGTCCAGTCAATTGATTTTCCTGCACCTACCGTGGCCCTGTCAGCAATCCAATCCGCTCGTTCATTCCCTCTTACCCCAGAGTGTTCTGGCACAAAAATGAAACTAATTTCTTTTAGACGAGATTTCCTTAGCGACTCCAACCATTTTCTTCGAATCCATTCTGTCTCCGTCTTCTTACTACTCCTCATGGAATCACTTGTGCCTGCTGGATTCTCATCTTCTGACAATTAATCCTACAACGTGAATTCATGGAGGGAAAATAAAATATTTAAAAAAAAAAACAGACTGAGATAATAAAAATAACTTTTCGCTGCATTTTCTGCCCTTTTGATACCATTTTTTGAGGAAATACAACGAGTTGTGGAGAGAACAAAGCAATAGTAAACATCCACAGGAACCCATCAGCAAACTTAAAGAAAGAAATATACAACAATCCTCCACCTAAAAAAAAAAACAAGACACTGCAGGCTCGACTACCACATGCAGAAAAAAAGGACTGTACAGTCCCCACAGTGTGAATGTCATAAGTGACCACAAACACCTGGGTACGCTCTGTAGGCCTGCCCACTATGCTTACACCCATGAAGACAATCCTGGCCTCAAGAGCAGACGTGTGCATAGCAAGCTTTAGGAAACCATACAGGTCCTGCAATTGGCAGTTTATAGAGGTAGCCCACCGGACAGTCTGGCATGAGCATACAAAACCGTACGCCAAGAAGAAGTTACCACATTTTTAGTGCGATCTGGGGCAGGGTGTCACACTTAGCAAGAAGATATAGGCCCGCGGGGATAGTGCAGTTGTCATGACTGGTTTATCATTAAGAAATGTTGAATGTTGAATTAGGAATTGACATAACAGCACTCGGGACATTCCCGTAAGCGCTTTGTCCCCATATTCAGCAGCAAGCGCAGAAAATGGTTAAGGGTTCTCTAATTATAACTTGAGGCAGTGATATGGCTCATTTATACTGCATGGTGCAAATACTCGGATGGTGAACAATCAATTGGAAAAAAAAGTGAAACACTGAGATTCTGTAGAATATACAGAATAGGTCGATTTCCATGGACATAAAAACAGTGATTAGAAAAGACAGGGAATGAAAAGAAAATTTCTGAAACAATTTTTCTTAAAGGTAATTTAAATATGATGGGAACATTAAAAGACAGTACAGACTTACAAAAACCTTCCTGAATGAGAAGTTGAGGGCAGGCGACATAGAAGGCAGACAAGTAAGAGTATCACATTAAGATGTGGACAAAAAGTATCAAAAGATGGACAAAAGGCATCAAAAGATAATGAAAAGCAGTGGACATAAGGTATCAAGAGATGGACGAGAAGCAGTGGACAAAAGTATCAAGAGATGGACGAGAAGCAGTGGTCATAAAGTATCAAGAGATGGACAGAAAGCAGTGGACAAAAAGTATCAAGAGCTGGACGAGAAGCAGTGGATATAAAGTATCAAGAGCTGGACGAAGAGCCGTGGACATAAAGTATCAAGAGCTGGACGAAGAGCAGTGGACTTATAGAGTATCAATAGATGGACGGGAAGCAGTGGACAAAAAGGATCAAGAGATGGACGGGAAGCAGTGGACATAAAGTATCAAGAGATGGACGAAGAGCCGTGGACATAAAGTATCAATAGATGGAGTGGTGCAAAACTAGTCAGTCTATCTGCTTGCTCATTTCCCAACACACCGACATAACCTGGAGAAAATATGTAAACGACGCTAACTACCCGCGACCATTGAAGTGATGCTTGCTACTCTGCACGGAGCTTGCCTGTCTCCACCTTTCTCAACATGCTCTGTGAGACAGTTATAACTACGACATGTGTGTACACTTGATTCTCAAGCCAGCGGGGGTGGGGGGGGGGGAGAGAGAGAGAGAAAGGGGGGAAGAAGGGGGGGGGACCACTGACTTCCTCTACCTCTATTCTCAGACTAGAGGTTATGATATGACTGAGTGATTGGCTGTTAAAGCAAATTCATTTCAACGGTTTAAGAATCTAATGGCATCCGTCAGTCCCCGGGGACTATGGAGATGTGCCGCTGGCTTTGGGAACAGCATCTGCTGTGACTGTAAAGTCCGATGCGAGAATGGCAGCCTTTGCCACACAGGATACACACAAAAGCAGATACTTCCTCGTTGTGAGGCAGTTTTACTCTCCGGTGTCTCCTCTCCACAGCTCGTTGTGTTCTGTTTCTTTCAAAATGTGACTGTCCGTCTTTCACTTTCTGTCTCCATAGTAGTCAATCTGCAGCTGATTTTTCCAAAGTCTCTGTGCCTATGTTGGTATCTATAAGGTCACGTTTGCATACACCTTTATAGCGCAGCTTTGGCCTTCCTGTAGGTCTATTCCCAGTTACCAATTCACCATATAGGAGATCTTTTGGAATACGACCATCCTCCATGCGGGAGACATGTCCCAGCCAGCGCAGACGTCTTTGCTTCAGTATACAATACATTGATGGTATTTTTGCTCTTGTGAGCACACATTCGTTGGAGACAAGGTCTCGCCATAATATACCAAGGATGCGTCTCAGACAGCGCATATGGAAGGTATTCAGTCTTTTTTCCTGTGGAGCATAGAGTCCAGGATTCGCAGCCGTACAGTAATGTGCTCAGGACACAAGACTCATAAACCTTCATTTTTTATTATCAGTTAGCTTTTTGTTTGACCAGACTCTCTGTGAGATTTGCAAACATAGCAGAGGCCTTTCCTATACGTTTGTTTAGTTCTGCATCCAGAGAATGATTGCCTGAGATACGTGAGCCTAGGTACTCAAACTCATTTACAGCCAGCAGCTGATGGTCATACACACTAATGTTTGGTGGATTTCCAACATTCAATCCCATCACTTGTGTTTTGTTCAGACTGATGGTAAGCCCAGATTCTTTGCAAGCATTTGCAAAGCGATTCATCAGGATCTGCAAGATCATCCTCTGAATGTGTCACAATGGCTGCATCATCCGCAAACAGAAAATCCCTGAGGCATCTCTTGTGCACCTTCGTCCTTGTTTAAGAATCTACAATACTAATTACAAAAACTTACCTTAAAATGGTCGCTGTTACTTAATATTTGTCCGTCCTTGCTCCAGAAAAGAACAGTGCTTGGTGGACCATCAAAGCTAGCCTTGAACTTGGCATTACTACTCTCGTCTACAAACTGTCTTCTAGGCTTCACCACTAGTTCTGGTGGCACTTCTGGTTTCTCCTGTCCCTTTTTGGTCTTCTTCTTCAGGAGATCACCTGCGAGAGGAGTAAGGAGTTATTAGAGAGACAGAGTTGGCGGAAAGAGACAAGAAAGAAAAGGAGACGGTAAATAAACAACGAAGTTTAAAGGTACTTGTATAAATATGCATTTTAAATTCCGTAATTCTATTTAACAATAGCTAAGGTGGAAAAACAGATGCTCACAGCCGATATGTGTGGTTGGGTTTTATTTTTATTTTTAAGAAGAATGCAAATAATATCATGAAATCATAGTAGAAAAACAAACGAAGCCTTCCTCCTCGAGACAGACGAAAAACGTAAACTATTAAGAGAAATTAAAATTGACAGTGAGTGTTTTGTTGGTGACATGCTATGAGAAAGAATACACTCGAGAACTTGGTTACAACTGGCAAAAGTGATGGAAACAGATGAAAGGGAGGGCAACGAGAGTAACACCTGAATGGCTTGGCCCAACATATGGGACCAGACAAGTACACTAAGCTGAAAGCGATTTTAATGATCGTGTGAGATGGCGAAATATGATCGCCTTTGCTTATTGGCAGGACACGTGATGACGATCATACATTCTACAGGGTGGCCGATAAGTTTCAACCATCATCATCATCATGTGCCCTGTCAACTGGCGTTGCATCTCTACAGATCACGATCCCTGGTTGCCTGGAACATCTCTCTTGATGATATCGCACCATCTCATCGTTTCCGTCCACCCAACATCATCTCTCTTGGTCTACCCCTCTTTCCAGTGATATTTCTTGTTGTCACGATGTTTTCCTATGCCTCTCTCTTCATCGCTTGAAAAGAACATTGTTTGTCTCCTTCTTATTGTTGTATATAGAGATATACCTTCATTAGTTTCTTTAAAACAATCGTTTTTAGTTACTCTAGCCGTCCAAGGTATTCGTAATGTTTTTTCTCAGGAACCACATCTCTGTTATTTCCGAAGTCTTCTTTAATTGTTCACTGACAAAGGAAAAATGCATTTCGATGCATGTCCGCCACGGCTGGAGAACGTAACACAGCTGCAGTTATGCTGGTAATGGCGTTGGTGACATCTTTATTTGTCTTATGTATGAAAATTCACGGGACACCCTTATTTAAACGTTAATGTACTCTGATATAGCAAATTGTCTATTATCCGCCTGCGGATCAGAAGGTCGTAGGTTCAAATCCGAACAGAGCGGGACCTTTTTTTTTAAATGATCGTGGCTCCCAGGTCGATCGACACTTGAATGGGTACCAGGTAAAGTCCAGAGGAAGTAAAGGCGAACACAGATTGGTTTATAAAATGTAGGAGTAGCACTAAATACCCACAGACCCGGAGGTGTGATACTGGTCACTTTACTTGTATCCCAAATTGACTGTTTTCAAATTCTTAAAACCGAAGAATGTGTTGCTTCCGAGATTAATTTATTAAGACAAAATGAGTTAACATAGTCTTCATAATAAATTATTTGTGAATAGAAACAATGACCGCAAAAACAAGTCAAAATAACTCCTTACCTTCTTGTGCCTCCCCTGCGTCTTGCTCTGGCCTTATCTGCAACAACAGCAAGAAACATGCAAACTTGACATGCTTAGAAAGATCAGTGTATAAAAAGAGCGTGCACCATTGTATTGCACAGTGAATTGCCATTGCAAAGTGCATTTTCACTTGAAAATGAATATGTTCGGTGCAAGAAAACAAATAAAGTGTGCATCATCAGTGCAAGAATTTAATCCAACAAAATACTGTAGTGCGATTAACAGTGCAAGAAATTTATCAGATCAGAAAAATAAGTGTGAGCAATCATTGCAGAAGATACTTTTGGAAGGAAATACGTGCACATTGAAATAATACAGAGAAGTGCCAGACACAGTCGTCTTTTCCTCAGCTCTCGACTGGAGTATCTATGGTGCGTTTACAAATTGGTGACTATGTTAAAGACATTAAATCTCATCTGTAGTGGAAAATAAATTGATGGCATCCTTCTTCTTCTTCTTCTTCTTCTGCGTTCGACATCAGTCATGCTAAACACTGAGTCCCGTATTGGTCACAAATAGGATTGTGCGTTTAAAGTCGCCACAGACCCCGCATAGGTTTTCTAGCAATGTAGCTAGCTCTCTTGGGTGAAATTCACAGTACTGGATGGCATTACATACTTATATTTACTTCATGCTCAACTTTGCGTCAGATTTGTTTCCCGCACAACATGTGCATACATATACGATGATCCTTGCCGAAGTGCGAGTTTATAGAGACGGCGAACATGACGGACTGGTGTGAGCATAGGAAACCGAACGGCAGGAAGAAGAAGATACCACATTTTAGGGCGATCCAGGGCAGGTGGTCATTTTTAGCCAGAAGATTTAGGACTGTGAGGCTAGTGCAGTTGTCACGACTGGTGTAATCGTGAAGGAATGTTGAATGGTGTTAAATGTTGAATTAGGGATCGACATCACAGCACGCAGGACAATCCCATAATGAAGATGATAATGATGATAACACACGTCATATTTCTGGAGAATAACAATAAGAAGAACTCAACAACGGGGGCATGCACAGCAGGAGCTATCGATCTTCAGTAGGTGGGTCCCATTTCAAAGACTGTTTCGGCGCCATTATCCATCTTGAACAATCTCGACGGGTGGGCTGTCATTGGTTCATGGCTCCCAGGCCTCGTACTCTCCTGCTACGCGGATAGGACAAGGCGAAATTGTGGTTTTGCAACAGGTCCCGATCTTATGGTGCTATGTGTCGTTGCTGCAGTAGCCAACTATGCGCCTACCTGAACGACCAGAGTGACAAATGGACAGTTGGTTCATCGGACAAAGTTGGGCAATTGGCAGAGTAACACGGGCAGGCGTTAATCGGACACTTTAGCTTTTAGGGATGTAAAGTTCTCTCCCACTAGGAGCTCGGACCAGTCTACCGAGGCCTATCCCCCACGCCGTTACGCTGTGGCCACAGCCAGCTCGAAGCTCTTTCCGTAGTCTCACCCAGTTGGTTTAGTGCCCGCTAACGCTCGTTACCTCTCAAACTGAAGCGCTTTAGTACATTGTATGTGGAGGCAAAGATTATCCCTCTTGCGCCTACCTTGACGGCGAATAGTTTTACTGTGTACCCCTCGTCGCTCCTGAGACTGGCCACCAGAATTAATGGTAAACATAAAATTCGTGCGACTTATACCGTGTGAAATGGGATGTATTTCTGTCAGTCCTATTTTCAATGAAAATCAACAGAGCGCAAACATATTTAAGTGATATAGAATAACTGCTAAAAATGTTCGGTGAATAGAATTTAAGTGCAATTGCAAAAAAGTCATCTGCTGAACGCCCAGTTGCTCCGTTATTTGAATACACTTTTTATAACAAGTATATGATGTACTTCTGTTCTGCTGTATGGCAGCGAATCTTGGAATGTCAGTGAACAAATTAAGAAGAATTTGGAAGCAACAGAGATGTGGTTTCTGAGACGAATGTTACGAATACCTTGGACGGCTAGAGTAACTAACAAATATTGTTTAAAAGAAGCTAATTAAAGCAGATCTCTATATACAACAATAAGATGGAGACAAACATTGTTCTTTGGCCCCCTAATGAGACGAGAGGCACTGGAAAACATTGTGAGAACTGAAAAGATCAGTGGAAAGAGGAGTAGAGGCAGACCAAGAGATGATGCTGGATGGGCTGAAACGATGGCATGGAGAAATATAATCAAGAGAGAAGTTCCAGGCAACCAGGGATCGTGATCTGTGAAGATGCCTGAGCGCCTACGCCAGTTGGCAGGGCGCATGATGGTGATGTGACGTACAAATGCAAGGTTCAAGCTCTTAGTTTTGCTTATATATTACTTTTTTGTCTGGTGCAGTGTTCTTCAAACCGTGGGACGCTGCCCACTAGTCGGTTGCATAACAGTCCCAGTGGGCCGCCGAAAAACAAAATTGCCTAATCATGTAACGAGGTAGGGTAGATGATTTCTCTCTTCCATTCTGTAGGATTACCACCTTAGTTAATGTCTATTTTAGATGAAGAGGCTTTCTGCGGCATGTCAATAATTTAAAAACAAAAACACAGAAATTAAACGAATGCTATTGTTTTTTTTAATGTCTAAAGAGCAACAGATGTCGCATTAGCTGAAAGTTGTAATTTTGTTACATACGTTGTGACAAATAAACTGCTGTCCACAACTGATTTTGTTTCTGTGTTTGGTGTCAGGTGGGTCACGAAACGGTTTCTACTGTTGTGGTGATCCGCGTGTGTAAAACATGTGAGGGACATTAGTCTAGTCTGTTGACTAATCCGGCTTTCTCAGATTATTCACGCCCTCTTTCTTCATTCCTCTTTCCTACTATTCGATAGTCCATCTGCCTGTCCGCCTGTCTCACTATTATCGAGTCTGCCTGTGTATTTGTTTGTCTCAAAATATTATACTGGGATAATAAGACACGTCAATTAGACAGAAAAAAAATATCGAATGTTTTCTTTGCAGCCAATTTCATTGATTGATGTATTGATTACTGTCGTAGTGCATTCTCTCATTGCTACCGTACAAGTTAGACCATATATTTCATTTCATGGAGATAGCGAAAGGCATTAGCAGCAGCCCAACCACAAACATCAATAAGATGATGTGAAAATGAAGTTGGTCTAACATCGCACAATTGTACATTGTTCAAAACCATGATGGAAATGACCTGTTTTCTATTTCCCACTAGTTGTTACTCGGAGGGTAGTGGGGAGAATAAACTTTCGTTCCAAGACCAGATGTACTGATCTGATTGCGTCATGTTCAGTTTGTTTGGTGTAACATTTTAATTGCCTGGTAAAACCATAGCATTGTCTCACTATTTTATTATTGTTTATATATATATATATATATATATATATATATATATATATATATATATATATATATATATACACACACATACATACATATCAGTGTCGCTTATTCAATCAACAGCGCGGCTCGCTAGCGTAGTGTGCTAAACCGGACTTCGCGGTAACCGGCTGACGAATTCC